TAAATAAAAAGAAAAAACTAATTATGAAAGTGCTTCTATGCAGCTTTTTTTTTAATAAGGACCAGTTTTTCAGTGCCAGTTTAAACTTAGATTAAGTAAACCGAGTTTAAATTGAACAGCTGGCTGACATTCGATTGGCTGATCTTAGTTTAAATCAGCCAGATCGGGCGTTTAAACTGAGTTTAAACCACGGGCCGTTATACATTTTCAGTTGCGATCCTGTACGAGTCCGAACTTGCAACTAACATACATACTAGGATGCCCATTGAAAATTTTTTTTTTTTAGGAAATTTTAAGACCCTACCCGCTAGTTTTATTGGTTTTTATGAGAAATATTATTGCATGTTGTACTATCCAAAATGGAATCTATTTTTAAATAAACTGATAGCTCATTTATTGCACTCTCATAAAAATTGTCGAAGTTAGGCGACTTCCTACATACGTTCTTGAATTTATTTTGTTTATTTACCGTACTTTCAGATCTTTTTAGCAGTGTGGCTAAGGAATTCATCAATATTTATAAAATGGGGCTGGCACCGCCCACTTATATGATATATGCGAGTTATGATGTGATAAAAAATGGCTTACGGCTAGACACCTAATATTTTGGATGTTGTATAACTTTTGCAAATTTTATTTATTTTTTTAATTCCTTGCGATTTGACATAATTTAGAGGTATTTCTACATTATACACAGTTGATATCAAAATAGAAAAAAAAAATAATAATAATTTTCATTAAAATAGCTTGGAAAGGAATAACTGTTTTACGTAATGTTTAACGTAAAGTAAAAATTTAAAAATTAATTATTACTGTATGGCTAACGAACAAACGTTAAAAATAGACGAACAGTAAAAAACAATCGACGAACTATCGGTTGCAATACACAAATCTTAATATTTATACTAATGAGGTGCTAACGTCGGTTGGGTCATTTCCAGGCTTTTCCCAAAAAAATTATATTTCAAGTTCTTACGTATCACCCTGTGGCGATTTCTCAACTTGTTTCTGTCATCATTTAAAAACTGTGTTATCATTAAATGCACCAGTTTATCATTGTTTTTATGGAAGTTTAAAATAAAGCACAGTGAAGTATGGTTGGTAGGATTAAATAATTTTAAGAGTTGCCTTAAACTAAGTTTCAAATGGCAACAAATTGATCTTGAAAAAATCAATACTAACCAACGCTGAAAGCCGCACACATTTCCGGTCATTCTTTCATACATACTAATACAATTTAATTTATTAAAATGACTTGTTATCGTCCGCGAGGAACTCTTGCGCGGGCCATCTTTCAAAAATTCCACAATGATCGCTCTTTGGAAGAACTGGATACTAGGCTTGTAAGTACAATATACTTCCTTTTGTTAAAACTGCTTTTATGGTTAAGTAAATATGTATGAATGTATGTAGATGTGCAATGTATTTGTTTAGGTATCGTAAAAGAAAAATAATAAAATAAATATTGTATTAGCAAGAAGTTAAAAGAAAACATAGAAATTATGTAAGCATATTTGCATTTCTATACACAAAGTTCTTCCGAGAAAATATTGCTTCTCTACTTTATTTAAAATTGATTGTTCTAAAAACATTTAAACATTGTTGCTAGCGACTATGTAAATGTATGTACAATTCCCGGGAAATCAAATATGTTATTTACAAAACATTATATTATTAAGTCGTTAAAAAATTATAAGGAGGATGAACCACTTGTTTGGTTTGCAATCGATACGCGTGTAAATGATTCAATTAAAGCTAAAGCCAAGCACTCGGATTTGTACGTTCCCACGACAGTCGGGTCTACGTAACCGGAACGACCCAGATTTATATCTGGCGAAGGACTGTCACTCCAGCAACACTCCCCAAAAACCCTTTGGGGAACTTGTATGCTGCTACAACAACAACAACTCGCATTTGTACGTGCGTGAATTGAATGCGTTTGTAAAAAGTTGATGCAAATTTCGAAAACATATTAAAATATTA